CTTAAAAAAGAAATGCCGCTAGTCTTCGGCACCCTACTCCACAATAGCGTTTAATATTTCTTTGTTTCATTTTAATATTATAATTGTACGTAGGTACTTAAAATGTTGTTCTATTTATGATCAGCGATCTATGGGTTTCTTGTTTCTTGAGACAACAATACGTCTGAATGGTAGAATAATTCCAAATAGTACCTGAAAAAAAAAAAACAATTAATTTTACACGCAGAAATATGCATTTTATATATTTATTTTCTTTTATTTATTTAAAGTAGGTGTACCTTATGTGATATTACTGATGTTACAAGAATAATATAATATTTACCATCTCTCAAATAGGTTTCATAGGCACTGCTGGTATAAATCGGCACTTTATCCGGACATTACGATGTATGAACGATGAACTCGTAACTGCCGATAAAGAAATTGCACTATTGGTATTCTGCATTGATGATGCTGAAGTAATATCGATGCAATAGCAATTCCAAATATCACTGTAACAAACATCCGAATCAGAAAGTAGAAATTTATAAAAAGTACATAGTTTGGTATCTCAATGAATCAAATAAAATGTATAAATAGGTTCAATAGCAAAAATCATAAACTTGTTGTAGGTTTTACCTTCAGCAACATGATTGTATTCTTCGTATTGGTGTTCTTCATTAAAAACAAGATATATACGCAAATAAAAACGTTCCTTTGTAAAATCAAGTCCAATGAATAGATAAACAAACAAAATGCACTTTTGTGATTTGTGATATACATGTATACGAAAGGTCCTTTATAGAAAATACAGCACACATTGCAGAACTTCCTTTTTTACAGATTCCCATCACGAAAATTATTAAATAATTTAAAATAATTTTGGTAAAAAATTCTTACAATTTTGACATTTCAAATTTTTGTTTTTGTTTCTTTTCTTTCATCAAGCAAAAAGTATACATATTATAGGCCAGTAATAAATAATATAAACTACATGCATACTATTTTATAGAAATAAGGAGAAAATATAAAAAAGTATTTAATATCAATATCTAATTATTAACAATATTACCTTAACTATTTATTAATTATTTATTAACTAAATAATTTGGAAAATTATTATTGTAATGTTTTAATATTTTTTTAATAGTAGCGTTGCCGTAAAAAATAATAATTTGACAATCCATATAGTGCAAGAGCTTATGAACCCCAGACCTTTGTTATTTTGAACGGACTTTAAAAACTACTACTACTAGTACTACTGCTACTACTACTACTACTACTACTAGTGATAAATGAAATAGAATTAATCAATTACTGACTAGCTATTATGAATAATATCTTCAAAGACTTGGATAAAGTAATAAAATCAGCAAGTGGAAATGAGCAGGGCTTTTTTGAGATACGTACGACACGGATTTTCAATGCGAGACGTTCTACATTAAGTCGTCATGCATGGGTGGTCGTATTAATTATATTCGAGAAAGGTGAAACCGATGGTGCTGTCAAAATGTAAATCCAAGATGGCGTCTGCATAAAATTTTGAATTTATCGTCATGGGTGTCGTTTTCATGGTTTTCGAGGGTGATAAAGCCGATGGTACTGTCAAAATGTAAATCCAAGATGGCGTCTGCACAAAACTTTAAATTTATCGTCATGGGTGTCGTTTTCATGGTTGTTGAGGGTGGTAAAACCGATGGTGCGGTCAAAATGTAAATCCAAGATGGCGGCTGTACGAAATTTTCTATTTGTCATCATGGGTGTCGTTTTCATGGTTTTCGAGGGTGATAAAGCCGATGATACTGTCAAAATGTAAATCCAAGATGGCGTCTGCACAAAATTTTGAATTTATCGTCATGGGTGTCGTTTTCATGGTGGTTGAGGGTAGTAAAACCGATGGTGCTGTCAAAATGTAAATTAAAGATGATGACTGCACGAAATCTTCAATAATCTTCATCTTTCTTCTTCTTCACAATTCATAAAAATTGAGTATTTTCATATAATGTTAGTTTTTATATAATAAAAACGGTGGCCTAGACCTGGGGTTCACAAGCTCTTAGGTTAATGCTTTTGGATGCAGAAACCTGACGCAGTCACTTCATAGAGTTTAGTTTGTCATCCATCACTTGATATCTTTTTAATCTCTTTAATAGTAAAAAGGCCGTCATCTTTGAACGATTATGCCAGCATAACTGTCATTTGATCTAAGTTTAAGGAATTATTTTGTAAAAATTGCAATATAGTATTAAATAAATGTGTATAATGTTATTGTACTATTTCCAAAAAATATTATTTTAACCCTAAATTTTGAAATAATGTTGCAACCTTGGTTGGAACTGTGTGGCCACTGAAAATATTAGTTTTGACAACAAAAAAAAAACGGATGCTTACGTCATAACATCTATCTGCATGCCAAATTACAACCCGATCGGTTTAAAACTGACAAAGTCTCATACAAACTTTCATCCCCTATTTTACGCCCTTGGGGGTGAAAATTATCAAAATCCTTTCACAGCGGATGCTTACGTCATAACATCTATCTGCATGCCAAATTTCAACCTGATCAGTTAAAAACTGACAAAGTTTCATATAAACTTTCATCCCCATTTTTACCCCCTTGGGGGTGGAAATTATCAAAATCCTTTCTTAGCGGATGCCTAAGTCGTAACATCTATCTGTATGCCAAATTTTAGTCCAATCTGTCCAGCGGTTTGGGCTGTGCGTTGATAGATACTTCAAAAGTCGATTTTTATATTGATACAAAACAAAAGTTACAATTTCTGGAATTCCTTTGGTACCTACTTATATAAAAACTTTGCACATGCTAAGAGACCTATGTACCAAGTTACATGGTTTTATCTCCAAAAATGACGAACACCCACATGCAACCCCTATTTCACCCCCACGCTGGTGTAAATTTTAAAATGCTAGAACAAACGATTTTTTGTTTATTATTTAGTGCCTAAATATAAAGTTTCATGGTTTTATCTTTAAAAATTATGAAATCCCATACAACTTCCCCCCCTTTTAACCCCTTACAACCCCTTTTTCGCGATAAAAAGTAGCCTATGTTTTATCTCGGGGTCTAGAATATCTGTATACCAAATTTCATTCAAATCCGTTCAGTAGTTTTGGTGTGAAAGAGTAGCAGACAGACAGACAGACAGAGTTACTTTCGCATTTATAATATTAGTTAGGATTAGGATAATATTATAATTTCACCATAACTTCAAAATGAAACGTCCAATTTTAATCATTCGAAGACTAAATATTATCTACATAAATTGTACCTAGTAATTCAATAATGAATTTGGATAAGGATTAATGGCACGAGTAAAACAAACGCGTTTCAATGTAGTAAAAAAAAGTGGTTGTTATTCTTCACTCGACATAGATGGATAGGCATAGTATGTTGCGGACTTTTTTGTAGGTATTTATAAAATCCCTACTAATCCTTACTAATATTATCAATCGGAAAGTGAGTTTGTTTGTTTGTTCCACTTTGACGCCGTAATTACTAAACCGATTGCTTTGAATTTTTGCAGACGTAAAGTTCAAAGTCCAGATTAAATAATAGGGTACTTTTTATCCCAGAAAAAATTGATATTTCCGAGGGAAAAGAAAAGTATTGGTATAGATGGCGCTGTGTGTATTGATATATATCACATAGGCTACTTTTTATCCTTTTGTGACACGAGCGAAGCCGCGGGTAAAAGCTAGTCTATAATAAATTAGAACATATTATGCTTTTTAGCGACTTCACATAGTTTGACTTTGACTGCACGGTTGGTGCGGTGGCTGGGCAACCGGCTGCCGTGCCACGTGTCGCGGGTTCGATTCCCGCACGGAACAACACTTTGTGTGATCCACAAGTTGTTTCGGGTCTGGGTGTCATTGTGTATGTATGTTTGTAAACGCACCCACGACACAGGAGAAAATCTAAATGCGTGGCAACGTTTAAAAAAAAAGTTTAGACAGTACGTACGCAAAATAAGCAACTTTTCTGCTTGATTTTTCACACCTTGTGTCCGAAAAACCCAAATTTCTTATCAAATTATATTTTACAAAAATAAAATATAGTCTGTGTTACTCGGGGATAATGTAGCTTCCGAATGGTATATATTTTTTTTAAATTGGTCTAGTTAGTTTTTTAGCCTATTCATTCCAAACAAACTAAAATTTACCTCTTTATATCGTGGCATTTTTACCATAAGAAATGGTACTAATATCGTATCTTACTCTTACAGTATATTTCAGTATAATACACGACACGACTTACCTTACATCTCTAATCTCTAATTTTCTATAATGGGATTCGGACAATCTCCAACTTACTTCAAAAGAAGTTGAGTTTCAAAGGCGATTACTCACACTTCCAATTTTATTTTACTCGTTGAATAGAAATGTACAGTCTACCATATATACAAACGTACTCTGTGGTACAGTCTATGCCATAAGGTCTATGCTGTACTGACTGACTGGTGTAAATGTAAATGTCAGTGTCAAAGAGTATAATAAGTATAGGGGATAAGAGTTGCCACTCGTCAAAAATTTATGTCAATCAATTTGAAACGCCATCTGAAAATTGGATCCTAGTATATTTTTTTTTTTACTAACGTCTACAGATAATCCTAAGTATAGCTAATGCCAATACTACCAACAATGTACCTTGCAGATTGGTACATTGAAGGTAGTATTGGAATTAGCTATGTCTGGTAGCTGCAAAATCAAAGAAGTTATTAATTACAATATTACATTTATTTTACAGTAAATACAAATTAACATTTGAAAATTATCAGTTACTAGGGGAAATATCAGACGATAGATTTGTTCAAAGTATAATTCTAATTTTAGTTCTTTTTAATTTTATGTTTACAGATTTCAGATATAAATATGTCGTTCAAAATTTATATGAAGTAGTTATTTTCTTTTGACAACATTTAATTTCAGGTTCGAAAACTAGATGTAGCTGACGGTCCGATTTTTAAAGCTGTCAATGGCTCTAAGTGTGACGGCCCTGGTCAGTGTCAAATTGTTATTTGTGGATTTTGTCAGCAGAATCAGTTCTAAATACACCCATCAGTATTATCAATATTTATGATAAGATGATAGACTGAAAATAACATTGTCTTGAATCTAGGAACTTACTGGTTTTAAAGAGTGGGTTCCATTACTACTGTAGGGAGCTTGTAATGAACGTAGTACAAAGTCATTACATAATTTTCAGCATCGTTTAAAGTATTAAAAAAATGGAAAACATAAAATCTTGGACGGCAGAGGACGAGGCAATCATTGCGACGAACACGGACGCTACAGAGTGCAAGCGATGCGCCGTGGAGCTCGGTTACTGGAAAGATGATTACATTTCGTATTTTGTACGGCATGTTGACCGCAAAGCCCCGGAGATAAATCGCGGGTATTACGCACGAGTCAGAGCTATGGAAATATTTATTCATCAATTCTTAGAGGTTAGCGGCTCTCTCTTGTTGTTGTATGCATTCTGACATACAATATCTAAAGGTGTATCTTTTAAAACTTAAGTGTATTTGCTCGTTAATACCTATTACTTATCATTTCGTTTAATTGGTACTGCTGGTAATAAGGTAACATAATGAAAATGAAATGCTTATGATTTAATTTCAGCGCTGTGGCACCAAATGTCAGATCATCAATTTGGGCTGTGGTTTTGATACATTATACTGGCGCCTCAAGGACACAACACAAGCAGTTGGCAATTTTATTGAACTGGACTTCCCAGCAGTTACATCAAAAAAATGCCACATTATTAAACGGAATAAACAACTGCTTCAGAAAATAGCAAATGAAGGTAACCAATTACATTAATAATTTACTAATTTTATAAGTAGAATTTTTGTTAGACATTGCACAAACATACAAATTAAGGAGCTACATATTATGTTGTTTAAATTGGGAAAATTGTATCTAATTGGGAATAAATAGTTACATTATATTTACTTTAATCCAATAGGAATCTGACATGTAAGTGGAGAGTTCAGTTTTATGCACTTTCAAGGTAAACTGCCAGGTCAGCCAGATGAAAGCAGTGCATAACTGAATATTCAGTTGTTTCACCTGGCTGACCAACTGACTATAGACAGCAGCATGTTTCTGACATCATACTGTGGTCTGAAGAAAGTCTGTTAGCATGTTTTGTAGAGATCTTATAATCTGTACCCTGTCTAGGATAGAGGGATGATTACCCACTTTTGAGGTTTCAGAGAAAATAAAGAAACTATAGGAAATGCTACAAATATACAATATAAAACGGTAACAGTAGAATAATATCAAATGGTTGCAAGAATATGGCTAACACATTGACAAGAACATTGTAAGTAAATGAGGTTATATCCTTATTTCCCTCCCTGAGGGGAGTCACCCCTCAGAATATATTGCACTTTGGTAGTTACAGTCAATACATAGCACACTGTCTTTGCCTTGATCAAGCTTGTGCACAATCAATCTATCCATTGGATCGCTGGCCCCTGGATGTATCACAATATCCAGTAGTTATTTCCTATGATTTATTTATTTCCTCTGAAATCTCAACAGAATAGAATAGAAAACAAATCAATATTTTTTATCAATTTTCACCAATTTCGAATGACCAATTCTTTTGGAGAACTATAAATAATTGGGGGCACAGATGGCGAGGTGATGATCCGTGAAGGTGACTTGCACTCGGACGGCTACCACCTGTTGGGCTGCGATCTGCGCTGCCTGGCCGAGGTCCGGCGCAAGTTGGCCGCGGCGGGCGCCGGGCCGCACGCGCCCGCGCTGGTGCTGGCCGAGTGCGTGCTAGTGTACCTGCGCCCCGACGCCGCCGACGCACTGCTTCGCCACCTGGCGGCCGCCTTCCCGCGCTGCGCGCTGCTGGTGTACGAGCAGTGCAATCTGGGCGACAAGTTCGGGGAGGTGATGGTGCGCAATCTGTCGGCTCGCGGCTGCGTGGTGGCGGGCGCGCGGCTGGCGGGGTCGCCGGCGGTGCAGGCGGAGCGGCTGGCCGCGCTGGGGTTCGACGCGGCGCGCGCCTGGGACATGGAGGCGGTGTGGCGCTCGTTCCCCGAGGAGGACCGCGCGCGCGTGGAGGCGCTGGAGATGCTGGACGAGCGGGAACTGTTGCTGCAGCTCAACTCGCACTACGCGCTGTGCGTGGCCACGCGCGGGGACATCTTCGCCGACATGGACCTCAACGCGTAGGTGGCCGCGCCCTACTTGTCTCCGATTCGTTTCGATGTTTTGTGTAAGGTTTAAGCGTGCGGTCTGTGCGTTGGTAAATAACTGCATTGTTGTATAGATGATAGTCGGTGTCGATTAGAAGACCACTCGATCTTATTATGCATTAAATTATGATAAAATGTATTTCTGCAACGAGAACTTTGCGTCGTACCAACAGACCAACACGTACATAATAATCTGTTTGTTTACTGGACGCGTTACTCAACTCGTAGCACGATACTTCTATTAACCAGATTATATTTTTATTGTGATGAATCTTTCCCTGTGATGTATCCCTATTTTATAATTTCCCTTGGCATATCAACTATTGGGGTGATCAGATAGATGTTTGCAGTCCATGCTACTGCCGTGTCGCCGTTGTCAAGGGTTCGCTATGACACGACGACGCAGATCGCAATCTGGATAATTTAACGATCTGGTTACTCCATATTAGATGCGTCATAATGGTGTGTAAATATTAATATATCTTTTTTGCATATAAAATATGTGCAATACCACATCACTATATTATTATTATAAAATTGTGCAATTCTATTCCAAAACAATACAATAGTTTTGTATTGCTAAATTTCGTATTGTTTAGCGTAAGCAAATTAAACACATTTGCGCCCAACTTTGTTTTAATTTACTTGCTACTCGCAGTTTTTAGTTTTGATTTTACAGATACCAGAAATTGTAAAACGGTTAACATGTCATCACATTTATCCAGTATCTTCATTTGTTGTCCTGTAGGTATGCATACAAGATTAGCAGACATCCTGTAGATACAAACCTACAGGACAACAAATAAAGATTCTGGATAAATGTGACATGTTAAGCTACTCATAAAATATACACACAAATTAAACCGCTCCATATCGGTATGATAAAGTTATAGATAACAACAATTTCATCCTGCGGTTGAATCTTGGTCCAACCGAAACTGAGTATGGTAATATAGGGTAAGTCAAATGTCTTTTCGGCTGTATTCTCACTTCTCATACCTACACATGGTAACTAAAAAGTACCCAGACAGACAGACCCAGTGGCAGACATGAGTTTAAATGCTACACTCCGACATTGAGCTTTGCAGAGATAAGCATCAATATCGGAAGTAATTTGCACGTCATCGCAGATTTAGGGGAAAGAGGACGACGAAATCAAAGACTACAGTAGTAATCGGGTATAATATAATGAAACGAGCGCGGTCAGACGTGCGGCAGGCAGGCGGCGATGGCGCGGCGCAGCGCCTGGCGCACGGCCGCGTCCCCCTGGCAGAACACGTGCGTGGCGTGGCGCTCCACGTGCACCAGCGTGTCGTGCCGCGGCAGGTGCACGATGCAACCGTCCGAGCTGCGCTCCACCCGTGCGTCCGGCAGACCCTCGCGCCCCAGGGCGTGCACCAGCGCGTCCACGTCCGGCGCCGAGCAGTCCAGACGCGGCGCCTGCGCCCGCGGGGCGCCAGGTGCAGCCGGCGGCGCCACGTCTAGCGACACGCGGCGGTCGCGCACGCGCAGCGCGGCCTGTATCGGCGCCGCGCGCAGACCGGCGCGTACGTCGCGCGGCGCCACGCGCGCTGCCAGGGCGCCACTGAGGGTGGCGCGCGCCATGGAGCGGCGCGCACCGAGCGCCCGCGCGGCGCCGCGGCGCAGCAGTACGGTGGGCACGTCGGCCGCGATGTGTGGGCGGGGGGCGGCGCCCCCGGGGGCTGCCGCATACTGCTCGGGGAGAGCGAGCTCGCGGGGTCGCAACTCTCGCACTAGCTTGTTGGCTTGAGAGTAGTTCAGCGAGGTGTCGATGGGACAGTGGAACGCCTTCATGGCGAGCGGCTGAAATGGCGCCAACGCATCCAGGTACGGAAAATCAGGCTCTATAAAGAAAATAAATATCAGTAGCGATGTGTCGTACTACATATCGATATCTATATTTTTTGTTGAGTAATGTATAAAAGCTCATTCATTAGTTATGAATAATAAGAGTATTCACAGTTACCTGTGTAGTAGAGCTAAATATAATGTACTACTAACCTGTAAATATAATGGCATGCGCAGGATTGGAAGCCCACAATTCAACGAGGTGTACGGCGGCGCCAAAGCGGAGACTGGGGTGACCGCAGAACACGACGCATGGCTACACAGGAAACAAAACTTGTTGAGAAGAATTACGACTAAGCCACTGGGTGAGCGAGAGGTGCTGTCTGAGTGAGTTAATGAAGGAGTGTAGGTACTGAGTCACTGACCTGGCGGAAGTCTGCACTGAAGGCGTCGTCGTGCAGCGAGCGCGCGTGTTTGAGGCGGCCGGCGCGCACTAGCGCCGCGTGGGGGAACGGCTCCTCGGGCAGGTACACACGGGCCTACAGACACATTGTTTGTTTAGTTTAACACTCTACATGTTTACAGATATGCTTACGTTGTTGATTTTTCACATGTAGGTATATAATTGGTTTCTCTTAATGAATTTCGTTTTGTACCTGTTTGCCGACCGAGACCCACTCAGCGAGGATGTTGCTGTAGGCGAGCGAGGAATCTGCGACCGGCGACACGACGTACAGTGGCACCCCCGCCAGACCCGCAGTGTCCAGGTGAGCCGACAGGCACTCCAGCAGGTCGTACAGCACGCCCGACGGGTACACGGGACACAGCACCGAGCCGCCCGCGCGCAGGGTCACCGTGGCGTGCACGCACAGGTCGCCCAGCATGTGGTCCGGGTTGTGCGCCGGCGTCTGCGTCAGCGCCGCCAGCACCAACACGTCGGCGCCGCGCAGCGCCGCCTGGTTGATGGGCCGCGGGTGCGTCGTCAGTGTTGAAGACCCGCTCACGTACGCCACCTTCTCGTGTGCCGACCTCAGCACCCAGTTGGCGGAGCCCAGGCAGAAGCCCGAGCTCACTGCCGTGGCGTCAAGCGCGCCGTATACGTCGACGCGTTCGTCGTAGCCTACGACACGCACGCGCGCCAGAGCCCGCGACAGTGCCGCGGCTGAGAACAGACGGCGCCACGAGCGCGGGCGCGCCGCCAGCGCCAGCGGCGCGGGCAAGACGTGTAGCAGCTCCTTCCAGCGCCGCGCGGCGCCCGCCCCGCCCGCGCCACCCGAAACCCACTCGGCCAACTCTTCTAGGTAGAAGCGGCCAATCTGCAAGGTGGGCTCGGTGGCATACACCTGGCCCTTGAAGCCCGTGTCCTCGGTGATGAACGGCAGTGCCATCATGCATGTGTAGTTGGAGATGAGAATAACATCCAGTTGGGAAAAGTCTACAACCTTGTCCAATGGAGGACAGAATTCTGGGATACTGTCTACAAATACACGGCCACAGCATTCTTTTAATTCCTGTAAACAATAAACAGATATTTCTAACAACAATAATATACAACATATATTTTATTTTACAATAAACAAAAGTATACAGTCAATCATATTATGCTTTTAACTCGTCGAGTACCGTCATTATAGAGACAATTATAGAACAATAGGTTGCGGTCACCGGTGACCACTTGGTGTTTGATAGTTTAATATGGGAGTTTATCTATTGCGGTAGCATTCAATCACTGATTATAAATTTAGTTACATGTATTCTAGAATTTCCTTTTTACAACTTGTAACAAATAGATTCATATCTTAAAAGTTATACAATTCTTATTCTAAAGTATTACCTGAATTTAATTTGAAAGAAGCAAATGATGATGTAAAATATTAAATTCTAAATTATACAGTTATAAATTATACTAATTCATTTTTAAACGATTTTGCCATATCTGATACACAATATTATTTTTTTCATTTGCAATCATCATTCTTTATATTGTTAAACAATGATGATTACAATCTAAAGTTACCATCTAAGTTTAAAAGCTGATATGTAACTTTCTCATTCAAAGAATGCAATGAATGGAAGCATCTAGTTATGTAGTTTCCATAGTATACCTGATATAAAATTGTCATTAATATTTGATCACATTGTTTATATTGGGGTAAGGGTACCGGTAAGGTACATATGATCTTAGTAGTCATAATATTGGATGTTAAGAAATTGTTCCTGAGGAATAAAAAACAATTACAAACCCCTTCAAGGAGAGGATCATTGAGATGTGGTGGTGTGTAGTTGGGCAGAGAAGCGAGTCGTGTACTCGGCACTGGTGGTAGCGGTAGGAAGTTGAGGACCGAGTGCGCCGACAGACCGCAGTCCAGCATGATGAGTAATTCTTTAAACGACAGGACAAAACACGGCTTGGCCGCATCGTTGCTTAGACAGTACTAAAATGAAACAATTAAATTAAGAACCGTCATACTACTTAAAACATCACTTTCTACACTGCCTACAATTACTTACAAGTTTCATTTTGGTATATTTATATTTACTTTATCCACGACTTCTTAACTAAGTATAACCTAATCAAACATTATTATATTTACGGCATTCGTTCAACTCTTTTTAAGTTTCAGCTATTAATTATGAGATTACACATTTTTTATTCGTTAAGCATTAGTTGCAACTTTATTTTACTTTATATGCACAGTTTTTAAGAAGGGTCAAGGGTTTATTATTAAATAAATATACACGGCGTCGAAGTCGAACTGTCAAATATGACATTGACAAATACAAATGTCAAGTTTGTTTTTTTCTTACGTGACAACATTTTGTTGTTCGGTGCTGTCTATCTATGGTTACTGTTAATGTTAAATTACAAAATTGTAGATTTTTTTTATACCACATCCGTGGCAAGAAAAGCACACGGCTCATCTGATTGTAAGTGGTTACCGTGGCCTATGAACGCTTGCAACACATTCTATTTCTGCAATAAAGTCACCAAACGTCATAACTACTAAGGTGGTATTTTGTGGTCCACTGTAGTTAACTGTCACGAAAAAAATTTGGCTCTATAGTTTATAGGGGACTTACAAGATAGTGAAAAATAATCTCAAAAATCTCAAAAAACATAGTTCATTAAATTAAAGTTAAATACTTTAATTTAATGAACTATGTTAACTAAAACTTGTTATTCCCGTCTTGTAGTATTGTACCAAAATGTTCAAAATCTTTTTCTTATAGCAACACTTAATCAAGGATGTCACTTAACTTAAAGGAGGCGGTAGGACTTGAATGTATGGTCATAACTCATGAATAAAATAAGTAAAAAAAGGAGTCGGTAGAAGTATGAGGGTTAAAAGTGCTATCTCATTTTTTTCAATCTATCTACCTAAATCTGAATAAATTATTATGTTCGGCTTACTCACGTAATTATTTGACGAGGAACTCGACTAGTTTCAAGCCAACCTTTTTTTTTTCAAGGGGGGAAATCATCGAATGACTGCTCCCGCCTGGGTGAGGCGGGAGGGAGTGTCAGACTCTTACTGACTAAAAACCACCCCGTTCCTTTTCCTGCACGTCGAGCTGGAGCCCCGATAACCTGTTAGGTTCTCCACGACTCCGAATTGGCATCGGCCCTGTTGGGCCCTATCTGTGGTGGAACGCGACGCGCCGTACGCTCGGGTCTGTTTCTGGTCGGACGGGGAGTCACCCATGCTCGCCGTCCGCAGGCTCGCGCTTACGGTGGCCTGAGATCGTCCCGCGATCCCGACGCCCGGTGTGTCCTTCGCGATGGCTGGGGTGCGAGAAGGCAGCGCTTCTCTGCCTCACGCGTCCCACTTCCTCCTTAGCTAGCATAACTGCTTCGCAAAAGGAGGAGACGGCACCCCAGTCCCCTTCGCTCCGCATCATGATCTGCACTAGGCCCGGACGCGAGAGGTCGCCATCGCCGATCACTTCCCCGAGGGCACGGCGGGGCTCAGCCCACGCAGGGCATTCCCCTACTGTGTGTTCCACCTTGTCCTCGGGGTGGTCCTCGCAGTGATGACACCCGGGCGTTTCCTCCCGCCCCATCAGACACAGGTACCTCCCGAAACTTCCATGTCCGGTGAGGACCTGCGTCAGGCGGTAGGTGAGGACGCCGTAGCGTCTCTCAAGCCACTCCTCAGAGAGGGGACTTACCGCTGCAATGGCAGCGAGCCCATTTTTTATGGTTTATTAGATTACGCGGCAAAACTTAACCTTCACATTCGTAGCATATGAAAATATGTATCATTTCAGCAGGCACCAGCATAGTCTGTCAGGATAGCATAATAGCAACAATTTTAAATATTCGTGGTCCGGTTCCAACTAATTATTTATTATGTAGTTCCCACCACTTAGAATTCCATTTAAAGTCAGTTAATTTGATTTGAATAGTGGTCGTACCTGTTTACAAAAAAATGTCTACAAACAAAACGTGTTTCAAGTCGAGAACCTGATTTTGATCTAAATTGGTACTTTTTATTTTGTTCATTCACAGTGTCAGTATCACAGTATTGTACTTAATCTCATTTGAAAGTAGTTATAGTTAGTTATAGTATTAAATTAGTAATAGTAGATAATTTAATACTTTGATTCTAATGTAGACAATCTAGTTTCCTTATGGCATCGAGCATTTCTTTCTTTATTGAAACGATGAGTTTCTTTTTCTTTATTCTTATATCTCTACTACTATTTTTATGGATTGTCAGTATGTATGTGTTAGACCACGTTAGACCACCACGCAGCACCATGTTAGACTTTATGATATTTTTTGTTGTGTTTTTTATTTAAGTAAGTTTTGTAATTTGTACAATGCGTCAAGCGTGTATTTGAATTGTTCTCACCTGGTACAATATTGGATATTGTATCAGAGAGATTGTAAAACTTTTTTTTAAAAAGAGTAAGGAATGAAGTTTTTTGCTTGTTCTTCTCTATTCCAATCTACATTTTCGAACGAGCACCTAGCTATCTAACTAATAACTTCACTTCCCCTATACATAACACTCTTCACTGACGGACAGATTGACAGACTATTATTTATTTTCTATTTATTGTCGTTTCAAAAGTACCAAAATAAGGTTTAGCTGAAATAAAAATGCTTTGACTTTGATATTCAATGTTCGTGAAACTCAATCAACTGATGAAAATTCTGCATATCATCAACGTACCATATCGTTTGTACTCTTCTATTGGACCTCTCGACAAAGAAAAAGCGTGATGTTAGGAATATAGTATAATATTATTATAAAAAATATAGCTATGGATCTTAACTCTTCGTGTCCAGCCTACCAGAAATATTTTTTTTTTAAGTTTAAGATAAAGAAGTGCCAATTTTACAATTATTTGCTTATTTTACTTTCTTATAAGTACAAAAATAAAACGCACATATAATAAATCGATTGTGAGGTAGCTAGTGGAATAAATTAACATACGGAAGGTGGTACGATATGTCAGGCAACGACAATAGCCGAACAAGTGGTGCGCGGGTCAGTGAGCGCTCGGCCGGTCCCGACAAGACTCCTGCGCTATCTGTGTTACTCGGTCAGCTGCAGAGTGAAGGACGCGAACACGACCACACGACCCTACACCCCGTGCCCCGTCGTAGCCTGACAGTTTCCAGCTAGCCGCCGAGTGAGGTGCCCGCGCGCAAAATGGCTCCCGTTAAGTTTACACGCAAAGAGATTGAGGCGCGGAACCACCGTGAGGAGGCCGCTATCATCATAGACAACGTGGTGTACGACGTGACGGAGTTCATGGAAGACCACCCTGGCGGCGTGGATGTACTGCTCAACAATGCCGGCAAGGATGCATCTCAATGTTTCGCGGACGTGGGCCATAGTGATATTGCAATGGAATGGCGCGAGAAGTTTGTCATTGGAGAAGTTGTCGACGAGGAGCGATGGCCAGAGGTGAAGCGTGTGGTGCAAGAGCCGCCACCCGCCGAGCCGTTCTCGCTAACTTCGCTGCTGAATGTCTGGGGCCCGCCATTGGTGCTTGCCGGTTTAGCTACGCTCGTCTACACCTACCTCTTTCCGACGGCTTAGGTCACACGACTCATTGCTGCAGTGCTTTACCAATCCACCTTACCAGTGTGTGGACATTAACTGTAGGGGCAAGGTTAAGGTGGTTATGTGTGCTAAATATGGGACTAGAAAAGTGCAAAAGCAGTCAGTGAAGCAGAGCTTCCGGTCGGTACTCGTGGCAAGTCAGCGACCAATAAATCAACTCGAATGCAGTTACATGATTATTCGGAGTCCTCGATTGGCGATGAAATCAAGATGAATACTATGTACGTTTCTATTTGATAAGGTTATGGAATAAAGGTTGTGTTTTAATAAAATACAAAAAAACTTGCAATATTATTTGTACTATTACTTCTCAACGGAACACAAACCAACTCGCCTCTTTTACTTCGATTTTACACGGTGCTTCGTTTGGTAACATAGGCGCCCAATCTTAGTATTTTATTCATTATCAGTGTAAAGTATCAGAATAGAGCAAAACGTGAAAATAATATTGTGATCAGCGGCTTGCGTTAGCGCGCCGTGGCTGGTCCGGCCGCCGCCGGTCGCCCGCCACTCGCGGCTGTCCTCAAGGTGAGCTGCTTTTCGCACGTGCAGTGGCCAGCGGGCGGCGGGTAGCCAGTGTATTGCTTCCACCGCCACCTTCCACTACGGCTCATTTTAATTACGCATGTAGGTAATTTATTTAAATATGATACAATACCATATTTAAATGTATTCAACAACGAGTGTTCCAAAACTAGGTAGGTACCGTACTACGTTCGTGCTTCAAGTACCTACTTATGCGATGACAGTGTTATTTAGGTTTGTATAATGGGTACCTACTGCCCACTTCCAAAAATATTCGTTAAAGTGAATATGGATAAGTACTAGGTTTAGTTGGCCTCATCTAGCCCCTAATCTTGATTGTGACTAACAAATTCGAATAGTGAGATGTGGTAGGTCCATATCTTACCATCTAAAATATTTGATTACTGAACGAATTGACATGTTTGTATCATGATTTTCGTGAGATATCTAATATTAGAGTTTTCGTCTTATTCACGTAACTATTTAACGCGGAACTCAAATAGTTTCAAGCCACACTAGAGGCTCATATTCATGAGATGAAATAAGTAGCAGCGCGACGATCACCGCGTCGTGTGTCACAGTACGCTGCTCATGAATATGGCTCATATTCTATTCGATCATATTCTACTCGCTGGCATGGCTTGAAACTTACTCGAGTTCCTGGTCAAACAGTTACGTGAGTACGCCAAAAACATAATAATGTGCGCATAAAACATGTTTTTTTTTAAGGCGTAAGCCGATAAACGAGCTGGCGGATCACCTGATGGTAAGCAATCGGCGTCGCCCATGGACACCTGGAACACCAGAGGCGTTACAAGTGCTTTACCGGCCTTTTGGGGATTAGGACTTGAGGAGATTGGGGAAGGGGAGGGTAATTGGGCCTTCGGTAACTTCACTCACACGACGAAACACAACGCAAGCGTTGCTTCACGTCGGTTTTCTGCGAGGCCGTGGTATCACTCCGGTCGAGCATCCCAATTCGTGCCGAAGCATGGCTCTCCCACACTTAAAAGTGTGGGATTTTCGGGTGTCTGAAGAAACTTATTTATTTGTATCGTATTTATAGAAATTTAAGAGTACCTACCTACTTATTTTTGCAGTCTAGTAACAGTTTTCAAACCGTTTATTTTATCGTTATCAGTAGAATTTATTGAAACGAATATTTATTCATTGGTCCAAATCGATAAAAATCATAGCTACTTCACCCACAGTTATGTTACAGTTAGTTAAACAGAAACAAAGTAACGTTAAAATAATTTATTTCAATTAGACCAGGAAGGCACTTTTGAACGTCAACAATATAAATTTAAAGTGAAGCTCATTCCAAGGTGTAAGTTCCTATGGAGAAGAACGAGCAAGAAACTCCATAGGTTACTCTTTTCCAATCAGGTTTACAATACAATTTTCCAGTCACACAGTTTTATTGTTTCGATTGTGCGTGAACAATGTAATATCCAAAATCCAGGGAAAGAGATCGAAAATGAAAAAGTAAAATAAAATAACCTTAAAGACAATAAATAATGCAGCCTGGAGCTAACCAACCTAATGAGACATTAAATTGTTTCTATTGTTATTTACTACGATGTCAACAAAACGTAGCGTTTCTTTATTGAAAATGGATATATTAATTTTGGTCAACTTATTGTTTACGTTTTTTTCGCCATTTTGTTTTGATTGCTTTCTAGGCAATCTGTTAAATATATTTACCAAACATTTTGAAATAACGAACACAACTTTTTCCTTTTCTACATTTTTTTTATGGCACAAGCGGCAAATTTATTTCGGCAAACACAATTGGATCGTGCTATTCAAATTAATTAATAATTCACAATAAATTTGATAATTGTAACTAATCCAACATTGATCTATATTTGAAAAAAGTGGTAATAAAGAAAACAGTCCATGTTCATGGCAGTCATAAAGGAAAGTATTTTGGTTGGTTGTGACTGATATGATCATTGGTCATCTTTTACATAAGAAAAGGTGTGTGATTTAAAAAAATTATAAGACATTTTTTTATTTGGTATTTTATGCAGGTAGCTATTGAATGTTAATTATTTTGTCTGATACTTTTAAGTGGGGAACAGAACACTGTTAAGTATTGAATGTTCGATTAAAATGTTATTACAATTATCACGAGGCAATTAGTGTAGTATTTACTAGCTGTGCCCGCGACTGCGTCAGTGTGGAATAATGATTCACAGCTCCTCCCTCGTAGATGATTTTTTTAACCCAATGAGTACCGTCATTATAGACACAATTAAAGAACAATAGGTTGAGGTCACTGGTTTCCTCGCGGTGTTTGACAGTTTAAGGTTTGTAAATCATCCAATGACTTCTCCCGCCTGGGTGAGACAAGAAGAAGTGTCAGACTCTTACTGATTAAAAACCACCCCGTTCCTACTCCTGCACTTCGAACCGGAGCCCCGGCAACCCGTGAAGACCTCCGCGGCTCCCCCCCGGAGGTGGCAGCGCGATAATATGTAGCCTATATGTTGACCCGGCTTATTAGTAAAATTTATACAAAATTTGTAGTAGATCCATGCAGAACTTTTTGAGTTTATCCTGGAAATACAAACCGACAAAATTTCTATAATCCATATGTTTTGCTTCACTTTGGCTTTTTATATCACGCCACAAGTATTCTTTAAAAACAATTCAATTTACAGGTTTCACTTTCCTACGATTTTATTATATGTCTGGACAGATAACTAGGACGTATGTATTCGATTGACTAATAGAAATAGGCTTTCTACTCTTGAGCATTTAACGTATGTAGGTACGAGTGGTTTCACTGCAGCCGCGACTACCCGCGACCGCGGCATCAGACAATACTTAATACAGGTACCTAGGTACTTGTGTATATGTATGTACTGATGAACCGAGTGTGGTGTACTCATGTTGGCTGTGTCCAGTTCAGTTTATATGTATTGGTCTATGGTCAGGTTTGTGGTCACTTTCGAGTTTCGACTACTTTCACTGGCCACGTGCTACGTCAGTCCGTGGCCCTTATTCGCCTTGACAAACTCGCTGTATGATACGGGTGATTTTTGGTTCTCGTCCTCACTACGCATATTTAATTATTTACCCGGAAATAAAATGATAATATTCACAATGTCGCGTCTCGAGGTAATGCGAGAAATAAGGAAATACAAAGTAGATTGTTTGTCATTACTCATTATTCATAACTCTCCTATCAACACAAATAATAGTCAACTAATAAAGTATTTTTTTGTAAGGGGGGAAAATCATCGAATGACTGCTCCCGCCTAGGTGAGGCGGGAGGGAATGTCAGACTCTTACTGACTAAAAACCACCCCGTTCCTTATCAAATCAAATCAAATATCTTTATTGCTGAACACAGTACATTTAGATGCATTTCAAGATGTTAGATGAATGCGCAGTTCATCATGTTCCACCAATCAAGGCATGCAACTATTATTCTAACCTTCTCCTGCACATCGAACCGGTGCCCTGGTTACCCGTTAGGTTCTCCGCGACTCAACTACTAAAGTATGGGCCACCTCTACATCTAAAGCACAAGTATCTATGAAGAGTGGCCGTAGCTTCTTGACGATTAAACTTCTTGACATGGATTGTTTTAGGATATACGTGGAACATTCTGGGACAAATTCGTAGAATCTAAAACTAAAAATGGTACAGTCTAAAATACTAACCGTCATAAATGGTTGAGAATATCTGGAATATTCTGGGCTTTAAGCACAACAACATTATTTTATTTTTAAAATAACCTGTAAAGTTACTATTTCATTATTTCTTTTGGGGTTGTAAATGCATATATCCTGTACGATCCATTTTATTCAAAGACAGATGTTTCAGGAGGATTTTTGTGATCGTACTATTGAATTAGGAATTTATAAAAAAAAACAAAGAAAAAAAATAAAGACCCAGCACTTTCAAACTAAAAGTTCCTAATTTGCTCACTAGATAACTACTTAGATCAATTTATTTTGAAGGTATTTAGGCTAGGGTCTACTGTCCAATCAGTTACAAAGACGGACGATTCATAATTCTGTACTATAGGGATCTAGGTCGACTTAACCTGTTACCATGAAGGCCGTCAGTGCAAACGAAAGTGTTATGAATGAAGTAACCTGCTGTCGTTGTGCAAGTTATGTACTGTTCCTATAACAAAACAATGACTGGGCCTAAAAGGAATGGACGCGAATCGAATCCTTAGTTTTAAATGAAGAATACGAGTTATTATTGATTAGAGAGGATCGCTGTGTCACAGTGAGAGATGATTCTAATTGTGATGATAACCGCTTATCATGCGAAGGAAGGCGCGGCGGTAAGGGGAGTGAGGCGGCGGCGTGCGCGTCGCGCTCGCGGGTGCGGGCTCGTTGTGTAGCCGTTAGTTCACCGGTCCGCTCCGAGCAAGCCGCGCGCGCCGCAAACATGACCTCCAAGCAGTTCACTCGGGAGCAGATCTCCAAGTGGAAATCAGAAAACAAAACCGACACTGTATTCATAATCGACAACGTAGTATACGATGTTACTAAGTTCCTAGACGAGCATCCCGGTGGACACGAGGTGCTGCAGAACGTCGCTGGCAAGGACGCTTCGGAAGACTTCGACGACGTAGGCCACAGCCTGGACGCCAAGGACCTCATGCAGAAGTACAAGGTCGGCGATATTGTGGAATCAGAGCGCGTGTACTCGCAGAAGCGGCAGATATCGTGGGAGGACAACAAGCAGGAGAATGAGAGCAGCTTCACGAGCTCCTGGAAGTTCCCTGTGTTGCTGGGTATCGTAGTGACCTTGCTGTACAGCTACCTGTTCGGGTAGCCGCCGGCACCGCCTCGCGTCGCGTCTCCACTGGACTCAGTGCAAGTGCGTGTACATGACCGACCAATACAGACTGTTGATAGATATATTTATTATGTTGCCAAGGTTTTATGCATAATTTGTATATTGTGATATTTAATTAAATTTGTATAATTCTGAATATTGTTTACTGTGTTATTTATCCTTGGCACTTCTAGAGTTGTGGTTACAAACGTTGTTTGCAAACAATAAACAGATTCTAAATCAGGTCTATGCATAGCACTACAACTGTGGTATATGATGTAGTATTTATGCAGCAAGGTCGAATGCCAAGCGTTAATCGATGTATCTTTGAAGATGGGTCGCAATATTACATCATTATTGTCAGTTTTTTACTGAAATTGAACAAAACTTGTTTACTGTTGTGGCTAGTATAACAAGGTATGACATAATCGGTTCGATAGCGTTAGGTCGCGTCGTCAACATTAGAGTAAAACGCACGTCGCCCGCGACCGTGGCCGGTGGAGCGCCGGCGCGGCGCGGGACACTATCAGATACGGATGAAGGTCACACGCTAGCCGAATGTTGTTCAATTAGTTCCTCAATCAAAGTATTATATCATATTCAAGACATCATTCTAGCTTTGTTCATGTGTAAATTACTTCGCAATATTGGTATTCAAATATTTTTTGATTGGAAGTTTAGAGTCGAGGATTTTATCTTAAATAAACTTTGTACACCTTCTTATTTCAGTAGTAGGTACGTTTATTAGAGGTATAGTACGTACGCAGTTTTACTTCTGTGTTCTATTACCTAGTGTTATATTTTGCAGTGCGAAGTACACGTTTGCGTGTAGTGGGTACATCAGCTGTAAATAACTAACCACTAACACTAACAAACAAGTTCGTATTAAAAAATGTTTAAGAGCTGACCTCGGTTCAAACAAAAACAAATACTATATCTATATTTAATGACACATGATTAGCAAAAAACTTGAGTAACAAGAATATGATACAAAGTTGTTGTAGCTAATAAAGTTTAAATACAAAACGACAATTGAATAGAGAACAATAAAATTACAGATCTACTAAGTAAGTATTGGTGAACACTATCCGATTATTTGAGAAACCTAAACCTTTTGAATTACGATCTCAAAACTGTCATGCGTGACGACTACAGCGTACCCTTCTTTTATAAAAAAGAGGTCTATAGACTTATTTTTTAAGGGGGGAAAATCATCAAATGACTTCGCCCGCCTGAGTGAGGCGGGAGGGAGAGTCAGACTCTTACTGACTAAAAACCACCCCGTTCCTACTCCTGCACTTCAAGCCGGAGCCCCGGTAACCCGTTGGGTTCTCCGCGGCAGGTCTATAGACTAGCAGTGGGTTGTCACCGGCTGAAGATGATAATGGTAAGGTATTGCTTTTTGTACATACATTTACGAATTACATTACAATTAATCAAAGACCTGCTGATTCCTGATAATTTTCTAAAACTGAGAACGTCAACAATATTTTACTAGTCTTAAGAATGGAACCCATTCATAAGGAATGAGCAAATATCTTCACTATAAGGCCGATCGACAGACTGAACCTTACAAGTATTTTTGTTTGACGTCCAAAAGTGTCTCCCTGATCTAATTGAAATAAATGATTTTGACTTTTAAGTTTGTGAAGCCATTGGAAGACCATTTGCGTTAATTTTGTTTTACTGCCGGGGTCCATATAGTGTAAAATATATTTAGAATTGTTCCTCTGCCAATGACCTCGGCCCCTATTAAATGGTACACATTACGTAACGACCAAGAAGAGGGAACACTCTTATACATTTATTGTTATTGTTATACGTACAAATTACTGCACTTATGTGTCTCAAAGCAGAAGTAGCAACGAGGTGGTTTTCAGTCAGTAAGAGTCTGACATTCTCTCTTGCCTCGCCTAAGACCGGAGCAGTCATTCGATGAGTTTACACCCTCAAAAAAAAAAGATGTTATAAAATAAAAACCGATTGAGAGACACTGGGCAGAGACCACTGTGCAGTAATCTCATTAGAGATCGGAACCTTTTAAATTCCAGGCTTTCACTACATGAGACTCATAACATAAATAATGAAAAGTGGGTGTTACTTCTGTGTGCACCTCTGCCTACCCCTTCGGGGATAAAAGGCGTGATGTTATGTTATGTTATGTAAAATAAAAAAAGTAGCTATTCACAATATGTATTGGCTGTTGGTCTTGTTATGGAACAAATAATAAATCGTCCGTTGGAAGTTACCGATAATATCAGATGACTTGACAAACATTTGAAGGTATTATATTGACTTGCAAAATAAATATGAAATAATGTTTTTGTGTAATTATAGCAACAAGAATGAACCTCGTCATCATTATTATGATTTTACTCAGTTGTTTGGGTCACGATAATAGTACAGTCAATAGTGTAGTGTGTTCCAATGTTTTTAAATGATTTGTTGAGACTGATAAAAAACCGGTACTAAGGAAACTTGCAGTCTCATCATGATAGCGCTTAATGACAGCCAACAAGGTTACAATCACAACCATCCGCTTGGACTTTGGACTTTGCCACGAATCTGATCTGATCCGGTTCATTGGTTAACACCACATCGTACTTACTTACTCTTAGTTGAGATGGAAACGGGCTCTGCAAGATTTGCCAGGACTTGCTTGAAGAGCTGTCTTAGTGCTCCAGTCTACGGTGCGCCAAGAGTAGACACCATCACTGCTGTCTGCTTGATTGGTCTCCATCTAGTTGCCAAGTGAATACAATGACGAGTCATGTACAAGTCTTAACATGTCGCATGATTGCAGATAACCGAGTAATTAGATTTGATGATGGTAGTACTAGCCATAGTTTGCTGCGTAACAATGATTCTTGTTTTTTGTCAGTACTGCCACGTTTACTTACTCTTTCTAGATGCTTTCATTAAGTACATTAAGTTCATATTTTTGTGTAAGTCATCAGTGGAGCGATTACATGAGCGGTTACGTCATAAGTCATAAGCTGCTGTGTATACTGCTGATTGGGAACATATAATTTAAAAACAAATTCGATATATGTGTATAAGTCTGTAAGTATTCTATGTACTATAAATAAACATACGTAAACACAGTAGTCAGAGTCTCATAAGAAAGCACCATAAAGTACCATAAAGTTGCCCGGTGACTGACCTTACTCTCCACAATGTGAGATCAGACCATTAACTTTTCAATGCGACTGGCTCCTTCTCTATATAATACAACATAGGTATCTATTTCCTAAATAAGTACATACATATAGGGGAGTAGTACTCTACTTTCCTTTTTAATCTAACGAGAAATTATAATATATAGGAATTATGGGCTTCAGTGAATACAGATGGAACTCTTCTACTATTATAAGTATTCTTTGCACTTCTATTGTTTTGAACATATCCAAGCGATATATTTAGCTCAAGATACCAGTACTTAAGGTTGATAATCAGCTTTAGTACTAAACCTAGATAGTAGATACAGAAATCACGATATGTCGTTACACGCGCCCGAACACCGGTAAGTGCCGCCACGCCATCCGCTATGATAACTGTTGTTATTTTACACAAAATTACACAGATACCTCCATTATTTTCTTCAACCTTAGACCTTCAACTCGTGAGAGTCATCACGGTATTTGTGCAACACCTAAAATACTAATAATAGTTCTTGTATCACTTCTGCTCTTCTTGCGTCACATTCTCCGGTGACCATTGCATGATATTTTGATGATCACCTAGGTAGCTATTACATCTAAGTGTAATCCTGGTTCTCATGGCGTTTATTGGAAACTTATCAGCTCTCTATCCAACACCAGTAACTATTTACGAATAAATATGGAAAATATTACTCCTAACTTGGCCAAACCCAAACAACATGGAATTTTGAAATCCAGAAAGAAGAAAGTTGATGTCCAGAAAGAAGAAAGTTGATGTCCAGAGATACGACTTCGCCTATCCACCTTCATCGATAATTGTGACAATACCTTCTGTGAATGGCCAAAGACTTGCCACGCAGTAGCGCATTTTGTAAGCAGATGTCGATGTATTGATGGAACATGATTTGCTATTTACATAAAATGTTTGTATAAAAAATGTATACATATGCGAACCATAACATTGGTTTTGTATGTTTTGCTCGCGTCGTAGTCACTTTTATTACATTGTGATGCTAACAGGATTACTCATCTATTACTACCAGGTATTGCGGACATCATAATCAGAAGAAAATATAAAGTATAGTCTTTTAACTTCTAATAAGTCTAAGATGTTGCATCATCGTTAAGACTCGGCGTGGGGCTCGCAGCGCAAGTGTTGCTTCAAAACTGGCGAAACAGGAAAGTGAACTGACTTCGAGCATGTGTGTGCAGTGTTTATACATACGTACGTATGTTATGTTCGTAGTTCAGTCACCCACACACGCTAACGTATAGCGGGGCCGCGCCACGCCGCGCTCGGTGTGCGCGATGCACACCACGTGCCGTGTGCGCATGCGCACCTACTTCTTATATCAACACTATAGTACCTATCTAGTAGATTATAAAGTTTATGCAACACCAAGTAATTAAATGTATGTTCCAGAAGTAGTAAGTAGGTGTTGAATTACGCCACAGTTGAGTACGAAATAATGACCGTGTTATTAATTAGGTACTTGGTAAACGTTACGTTTATTGATGTATGTACAATATTGTCAGTTTTGCATGTTTGCACCCAGTGAATTACACACGTACCAACTGCAGTTGTCCACTACGTTGCAGACTACAGACATACCAATGAAGTATTTGCAAGTCACTGTGGCTTCATGGTTCTCATATTAATGGTAACGTCGCAACGCAGCCGGTTAATTCTAACTAGTTAATTACAGTTCAAAGGTACACGTTGACGTCATCACGATACATTTTTATGTCATTTGTCAGAGTATTTACGTATATACTTAGCTGACGGGTCAGTTGTAGATTACGTAGCTCGCAGCAGGAGTAGTTTTCTTAATACTACTTACAGTAGCAAATGCTCATTGCGCTGTCAGCTTAGTGACCTCAACAAAGCGAATATTATTTAAAAAATATCTCATAATATTAACAGGTAGGTACAGTTCGACAAGTTGTTTGGTTGTTATGTTTGGCTAAAAGCTATGCATTGTCGCGGAGAACCTAACGGGTAACCGGGGCTCCGGCTCGACGTGCAGAAGAAGAAACGGGGTGGTTTTTAGTCAGTAAGAGTCTGACACTCCCTCCCGCCTCACCCAGGCGGGAGCAGTCATTCGATGATTTTCCCCCCTTAAAAAAATGCATTCATTTTATAAAAATCATACAATTTAATTATAGATAACCTTAGATACTGTGCTACTGTATCTGAGATAGTAAATCGGCTAACTGGATTTACTGACTGAAAAAAGTTTAGGACAGTGTCGAAAGTGACAGATACTAATTAATTTGTCTGACTGTACCTAAGTACCATAACAATTAGGTTTTATCTTCCTGGTTTTTATTCTTATTAATATAGTCACCAGTCTCATTGCGTGAGTCTCAATTCTCAAGATTGTTCTCGAAGAATACCTACCTATTTAAATAGACTACACATACTATATAAATACTACTACTACGCAGAAGGAAATGATCGCGACAGTCATTTATTTATTTATAAAATAATTTTAAGTGGCTTAATTGCCAGTCACATACAATCTGCGCGAAGGTCAAGAACTAACCGATGCTGTGACCTTTGCAACTGATTTAGAAAAAAAAGAAAGAGTTTAAATATATTTGTCTATTTTTATATGTATGCAGGTAAGCCGATTATCGAGCGATGACTGGGACGAGGCAGGAGATGTGACTTGAGCTGAGGTAGATGGTTTGTACTGCACGTATTTTTTATATTTACTTTGCCTTGCCGTAAGTATCTATTTCAATTATTTTCAGCCAGCATGCTGTGACTTAATGGAACCTCGAAGAAGATAATTACTTTTGCCAGGTAGGCAATTAAATTAGGAAAGTGCAGACTGCAGATTTATACTTTTGGCAAAAGTTATGTTTTTTTATAATAACTATCGTGAGACATACTAAATTAACTATAAAAGTTATGATCTACAGACGTCCACACACCGCACTGTCGCTATCAAAGTTTAGATTATTTTGGATAGTCGATCAATAGTCATTATACTGTCCATATGTCCAAAGTCTAAAGTCAAAGTACAAAGTCGAAGCCTTTATTTGATCAAAACAACATTATTGTAGAGAAGATAGGATTGTCAGTTATTCTATCGTTTTAATTTGTATATTCTGATGGAGAAGAACGAGCAAAAACATCAACGTTACGTGTGGGATGTTGGAGTGGTTGCTAATGTTATGGGAGGTTTTGTATTATAATCAATAGGTAGGTAACTTTAGGCTGTAGACAATATAGTCGTGCTGCGTACAATAAGCTATGGTGAGGTCATTGTCCCCCGGGTGATGCAATGAAGCAGGTACGAGTACGATTGCTCGACAGATCGCGGTCGCGTTATCTCAAGGTTGATATCATTATCAGTACACTTGATAATGATTATATTCTAGAAGCTAAAGTCAACACTTTTCTAGAATTGTACATTTTTATGAATAATGTGGGTAGATACAATTTCGTTACTATCAAAGTTTTATATAGGAATACGATGAACCTAACGGGTTACCGGGGCTCCGGCTCGACGTGCAGGAGAAGGAACGGGGTTTTTTAGTTAGTAAGAGTCTGTCACTCCCTCTCGCCTCACCCAGGCGGGAGGACTCATTCGATCACTCTCCCCCCTTAAAAAAAAGGCCATTCATTTTTAGCGTTTTCTGAAGAGGAGAAAGAGAAACTCAAACACAGATTTTGAACTCACTAACAATTGTTCCGTGTATGTGTCCATTCCGTGACACTTGCTCAGTAGTTGGTGGTTCAGATGCTGAGTGAACAGATATGAAGATAATTACAATAGGGTAGTGCCTAATTTTTATTTTAATGTCTGTCTGGTAGATTATTTTAAATGATTAGACACGTATTTTTTATTTTCTTACAGAAACGAATACTTTCGACGATATATTGAATTGAAATGTCGCGTGACGTCACTTCTATGTACATTTTATACGTAGAAATGACGTTTTAGCCTCCACTCCTAAAGTTTGATTCGTTTTATCTAAGTGTTATTTCTATTATACAACAAAATAAAAAAATACGTGTCTAATATTTTTTTATTACTTTACTTACAGACTAATTATATTTTTAATTTCATACCTTGTCATCATCCCAATTAAATCATTAGCAAAATTAGGACAAAAAAGAATCATATAAACAAATAAAATAAAACCCTTCAAGGTGTGTATCATAGTAGGTATCTGATGAAAAAACATCTTCATATTTGACACATTTCATAAATGACGTGTTCGTTCGATTTACAAAAGCTTATATATATTTTGTTTAACATTGTGAAATAGAGCCTAAACCTACCTATATAACGTGATGAAACAATATCAAAGGTATTATGTACCGTATTATCGAGAACTTGTGTTAAATATTTCAAAAAACAAAAAGAAAAGGTGTAATATTTGTTATGCGATGAAATAATATTTAATATTATTGACGTGAACGATATCAAAAAAGTTATGTCGTCGTGATTCATTAAATATGTTTATCACTGAGATAAGATAGTTGATACCTACCGACTGTGTGTGTGTAGGTACACAAACATTTTTTCAGAGATAACAACTTATTTTTAATTATATTATACAATTTAATAAACTGCTGTCGATATTAACATAATACATGTAATTTGAGACGCAATATATTTACCGATGTTATGAGGTTTGAGGAATGATCTGTCGTCGGCGGTATTTCCGAACCAATACGACCTTCAAACCTTCAAGAAAAGAGCGTACCTATTCCTTTTTAGAAGGTCGGCAACGCACGTGTGACTCCTCTGGTGTTGCGGGAGTCCATGGGTGGCGCTGATCGCTTACCATCACGTGATCCGTCTGCTCGTTTACCTCCAATTCCATAAAAAAATCGTTTCTGTAAATTGCAAAGCATTTTACCAACAAAATATTTTAAGATTAAACTTAATGAGATGACGTCGGTGTATTACCCATCTGACTACTCTGAGATGAAACACCGAAATAAATTCAGAGATAACAATCTCTTCTGGGTGACATGATGCATATGAGTGACATATTTATTGTGTATTTTTTTTAAGAGGGCATAATCATCGAATGACTTCTCCCGCCCGGGTGAGGCGGGAGAGGGAGTGTCAGACTCTTACTGACTAAAAACAACCCCGTTCTTTCTCCTGCACTTCGAGCCGGAGCCCCGGTTACCCGTTTGGGTATAGGACAAAAATAATCTCATGTAGGTAACTGTAACATTATTTCTGTCAGAATGCTTGAAGTTTTGCGAAAGAGATGAATGAACGATATTATCTATCTAATAATGGTGAAGTATTTAAATGTATTCTTTCTTTCAATTGCATATTGAGTAGTTTAAACTGTCAAACTGCCAAGCGGTCACCGGTGACCGTGACCTATTGTTCTATAATTGTGTCTATAATGACGGTACTCGACGAGTTACTTAGTTTTTGTACTGTTCTATTCATATAAATAAATAACTGTTTCTTCCAGACCTTGTACTTCCTATATAATTTTGGATCTTAGGTTAGGCACAGAGTCCTAACTTCCAGTTACGGTAACTGGTTTTCAACCATTGTGACTGTAAATTTGAATAAATAAATCAATCATAGTTTTGGCTAAATATCAGTATTTTACACGCATTGATTGCATTCTACTCTCTACAACCCACTGAGGTTTATACAACATCACAGTTACCTACATTATTTATGAGAATATTTTAAAAACAAGAATTCAGCCACGAAAGTGGTCGGACCACTAAGTTCCCCAATAACTACGGCAATGTTTTTTACGTGTTTTAAACGACAGGCAATTTACAAATAAAATAATCACTCGACTCAAGGTAACCAGTTTGTTTCAAAGAAATTATATACCATTAAAAACAACTTACAATAAAGACAAAATGTCTGAGTTTTTGCAAATGATAAGGGTATCTTATTAATTTCTGTCGACACAATTTACTGCTACCTTCATGGTAAATTGTTGTCATTACGTTTAATGAACGTATATAGGTATATTTCATAATAATCTCCCGACAATTTGCGTCGTAATAGTTTTTGAAATCACCATGAGGTTTATTGTTCTAGCCAGTTCAGCAAAGAGTGTGCCTACAGTAAGGACCTATTTCACCAACGGCGGTTAAGTAGTTAGCATAACTAACAGGTTTTATATTAAAAAGATCTCTAGTTATACGCCAGTTAGATTGAATCTTAATTAAAGAAACAGAGACTTTAAAGTGCGATGATATCGACTGGTTTTCCCACAGTGAAAGTAACAATGCCACCGCCTGCGTACTTCCTCTGAGCAATTTGTTGCTATACGTCCAGCAAGGTACTGTTAGATAGACTACAGAGTCGTTTCTAGTCTACCTCATTTATGTAAGGTGCGTACGAAGTTCAACGTGTTTTTCCTTACCAAGGAGATCAGCACCATGGTCAACTGTACACAGAATAAAAAGTCACTTTACTTAAATATTAAATATTTTATTTGAAAACAAACTTATCTTTTTATGTATACATATATTAACTTTATGTTTCACATACATATAGTCTCCGTATCATACAATCGTAATGTCCACCTCTACTTAGATCAATTTTATTGTAAAATTTTGTATCTATGTCATATTTACAATTTATTCTATACAAAACATTTTATTTTCGAATGTAATTTACAATTGCCTATCATTAATTACTTTACTTAGAACTAAACGTTTTCAAGAACGCCAGAACTATCTGAAACGTGGAGTGTAGTTACAGTTTGCACAGTAACCTAGTAAAAAAAATAAAATAAAGGTTGACTCAGTACAGCGACAGTAGCTATTGTTACACTAGATTGTATGGTTTTTAATGAATCCACATATTTTATAGTAACCAAACAATAGTGACTGTTTTCATGCTGAATCAGTCTATATTTTTGTACCTGCATACCAGAGCTGTGCAAATTGCACCTACACTACGAGTAGCCTGCCCAGACTGGGGACTTTTGTCCAACTGTAACTGGGCACACTTAGTGTGTTCTCCTCTACCTCCTCTTTGTGATTTAATCAATACAGTTTTTGATTTATTTACGTAAGCAAAAAAATTATGGACAAAAATATTACGCAGGTTATACTTCTCTAGGTGATATTTGCGCTCAGCGGACAAAAGCTCCCTGTCTGTGCAAACCTTTACAGTTTACATCCAAGAAGACAGTTTTGCACTGCTTCACTGTTCCATGTCATACGTGTTAACATGTTGAGCAGGGGCTAACCCTGTGATTAGGATTACTTATATAATTGATTTTGCTGTAGTTCTTTGGACCATTTTAAAAAATAAAATATATGATAAGTTGAATTGAGATCGACGCGAGTCGTCATTAGCGCGGATTTTAAGCCACAAAATTGCAGGGGAACTTTTTTAACATTAAGAAGGACTCATTACATTTAATTATTAAATAACACATGCTCTAAGTATTATTTACAAAGGCGGAATTAATGCCTCAAGCATTTTCTGCCAATCAACCTTAAGTTAAAAAGACAATGGTAATAGTGTGTGCAGATTCCAAGCGTTCCTGATGAACTTAAAAATAAAATATACACGTAACTTATACTCGATATACAATTCATTAAATAATTGAAATTATTGTTATTGAGACGTAAGAAGATGTACACATTAAATTAACAATATGATTTGACCGGTTGAGGTCAGTCTCGTACTTCGACTGAATGTATTTATTTAACTGTTGTATTCAATGCAATGCAGGACATTAAAATAACATGTCACATAATCATACATATGTTGTGTACACTTACAAAATTGTCAGGTTCACACATTTTTAGTTTCTTTATAAAGTAGAAATTCAATTCACTGTTCACAGTGTCCAACTCTTCATTGTTAAATTTTCCCAAGGTTAGTCAGTAAACGACCTTAGTGGGTACTGGCGCCCCTTTTCTTGTTTCTAACAACATAATTATCAACATTATGAAATTTTCGTACAATACATTATTTATTCCCGATTTGATACCCTTTGTGATTGTCACAGCTACTAGGGACTAGGGATCATCCCGCCCGTACCACTCCCGCCAGTTTACGAGTAAGTGAGTAGGACAGCAGGATTGCTGTCAATGTAATCGATTTAAGATTAGACTAGGTATCTTTTCCCACACTGGCTCCCGATCAGACAATGCCTTTTTTCCTTTGAGGGGAAAAATCATCCGATGACTTCTCCCGCCCGGGTGAGGAGAGAGGGAGTGTCAGACTCTTACTGACTAAAAACTACCCCGTTCCTACTCCTGCACTTCGAACCGGAGTCCGGGCAACCCGTTAAGCCCTCCGCGATTAGGCAATGTTTAACTTGCCGGTAACAAAACGCTTTGCTGTTGGTTTTACAGCATTGCTACCCGTAAACAGCAGAATGTGAAAATGGTCTGAGTGTAGGTTCAGAAACATGTGGCATATGTACACCAACGGCCCGGTGCTCTGTGGAGTTACGGCATGCCAGAATTGTCCCATGTTTGTCATTTACACAATACCCGTACCGACTTCTCGCTAATTATAATTAGAATTTTAATTACACATGTATGGTGATTAATAATGAGGTTGTCACGCTGTTCCAATGTTTCAGTTATAATTTGAGCATACATTTTTGTGGTATACATAATATATATGACTTGGCTAATTATAAAAAAAACTTTTTAAGCACTCCAGTGATACACACAGATGCTTCGTTGATCGAGTGAATATAGGCAATCGACCTAAGGAGTCCCTCCTTCGACGTGTCAAGTCTCCACTTCTATACCTAATATCAGAGATGGAGATTCGTGTTCGAAACACCTTACAATACTTTGCGTAACCCCAGATCAGACCTGAATTAAATAGATACTTTTCACTAGTTGTACTATCGGCAAAGTTTACGGTAGTACACCTTTTAAACAAAACGTTGTGGCAAACTAGCTATCCGGGTATGGATCCCTGTGGGCGGTCGTGCCGAGTGCATGCGAATATCGCCTAATGACGGGCGACCGCCAACTTTGTCGATTGTATATGCAATTGCTCGACAAACGAGTAGTACGGGAGTGAATTATTCATTGTACGTCTTTTGTATTACTTTGATCTTCCTTTACACGTATATAATGGCCCACCAGACAACTGCGTAGTACTAGACTGTACTGTGTAATCAAGCCATATCAGTTGTTATGTGGGCCTTCTATTTCTCGTAAATAAATACAGTTTAACAATATTCACATTAAACAATATCAGTTGCATTATATATACAATGGGTATCGTTCGAGAACATAATTTTATGTGTTCGGGTCCCTTGTGTACAACTATTTGTAGTGTGTGCAGTGTCGACAAAAACCTGCCACAAAGTGAGTAGTCCTCCTGTCCTCCTCTAGTCAAGGTTCGACTAGTAACTACTACTTCTAGGTTCGATAGTACAACTTTATTATAGGCTAAGCAGTTTTTGTTACTCTAAAAAGGGGTATTAAAATGTGTTTAATTTTATTTTATCGTCGCGTGTTGGTAATTTTTGGTGTTACAGTTACACCTTAATCTTCAAAAATATAACTACTAGAGTAAATCGATTCCAATAAGAAATTTTATTTTATTTAATCGATGTATGTACCTATTTACTTAAATACAAATACATTTATGTTACCAGTTCTCTCGCGGGGAAGAATCTGTTAAAGTTCGTTTCATCCACTCGTGAGCTGTGTCGTTGTCCTGTGCAGGTTACACGACAGATGTAGCTATCGATCACACTGGGCAAGTATTGTTAGTTATATGATTGTTACAAGGGACCACGACACTACAGTAACAGGTACCACTACGGAGGTGAGCAGTGTGTGCCGCACATGTACTCGCACCATTATGTTATTCGCACGCAACTTAACTAGTGCAAATGACATTACAGAGTGGAATGAATGAATGTAATGAATAGGGCTGTTTCATAAAAACTTTAACTTCACTAACGACAATAGATATCATTTAAATACATTATCTTCACAATAAAACAATAAATATATGTACAATATTCAGTAGCAACAAACGCTATGTAAGAGTTCAATTCATTAAAATTTCTCACATCCATTGGTGTGGCTTCTCAATAACCGCATTATATTAATAATCTTATTATTTTAGCATTTTCTTCGAGAGATGCAGAACATGAATCACAGTGACTTGACGCTATGTGTTCCGTTTCTCGTAAAAATGTTTCCGGTATTTACTCGAATAGTTTATTTATTTATTTACTTAGCTAGTCGAAAACTAAGTTTTCTCGATAAAAAATTTAAAGAAACTGGTGTTTCTTGTGCGTGTCCATTTATTGTTAGAGTCTGGGCACACTGCACTGCACGGGCGCGGGGAGGCGCGCGCGATCAGCTGGAGCCGAGCTGCGCGCGCAGCAGCCGCGCGTGCAGCGCGCACAGCGCCAGCAGCGCCGCGATCACGCGCGAGCTGTTGGACAACCCTGCGCTGCCCGTCTGCATGGCCGCCGGCCGCTCCCCTGTAACACCATTCCAATATTTAGCAACTATCCTCCGACACAAATCGTAGATCCTAATACGACTGGAGACTGCACAGTACTTACCGTTGAGCACGTGCACGCGCACTGAGGCGACCTCCGCGTTGGAGGGTGAGCAGGAGTAGCGGCCGGAGTCTGCGGGCGCGGCGTCCTGCACCAGCAGGTACGAGGTGGTGGCGGCGCCCTTCTCCGTCACCACCGAGACGCCGCCGCGCGACGAGTCGTACGATATCACCTGCTTCACACACAACGCAGCCACATTGTTATATCTGCTCGGTGATCTTACTTATCCATACTGTTTGGCTAATTAAGTACAACAAACTTAATAGTAGTAGGAGATTTTATTTCAAAAGATTTAAATATACTACAATAGTTGAAGTTGTAGCTTATTTTTAGATACACAACTGTGTGAGCAAGGTGTACATGTGTTATGTTTTGCTATCGCCATGAAGCAGGCAAACAGATACTGCAGAGTTAGTGCCTAATAACAGGCAAATCTTGGTCCAGTGGTAGATAAGTCAAAAATCAAACAACTTCAACTCCTATACGTTTATAAAACTGTCTGCGTGTTTCGTAGACATGAAACATCATTTGGTATTTTTCATTGTTATATCGAAATTTATTGTTATTGTGGCATCACGGTACTTGGTATCTTTGTCATATATAGGTGCTGTGATATTTTTAATTATTTCCATTTGATGTGAATCACAATTTGATATAGGTTGTTCAATCTTCATTTATGATGCAGAGTGTGTACGTCCATATAATGTATACAAATATTTACCCACGGCCAAGTAGCCTGTATTAGTAGGACCTAAAACAGGAAGAGCGTCTCAGTTTCTCCTCCACACTATAATATAACTATACTAATTCTATATCTAGTTACATACTTACTACAAAAAATCCATGAGTATAATTACTTTGCGTCCGCTCACCTCGTCCTCGTGGTACCAGAATATGTAGGCGGGCGGCTCCGGGGAGAACTGGATGAGGCAGGTGAGGTTGATGGTGGACCCCATGTCCACGTGCAGGTCCGGCCCGCCCAGGATACGAGCTGATGGCACTGTAACACATACACGCACGCCTGTGTTATAATTACAACGTACTTAAATATTCTTAGCCGTATTTCATTTTATACAAACTGCTTTTAGTCTGAACGTCATCGCGTCTTAAACTTTTTAGCGAACAAAGATATAGTTCGGCAAAAAAGTTAAAAAGATCGCTACCAGGTCAGAGAGCTTGGTAAGAGACTGTCTGACTGTCTGTAGCTAAGAGATATTTTAATCGTCGAATGGTATTTGTTTTAAAACATTTTAAATCGATATAATTATGTATTACATGCTATATTTCATATATATATGAGTCAGGAGACCTTGCTGGATGCTTTAATTCAAGAAAGTGATACATTATGCAGTCGAGAGCAGGCGACAGGAGGTCGGGCCGAGGTTACGTTGACACATTTTTAGTTCCCTGCCCTCATTACAGTCAGTTATGTGTTGTTCAGTCACTACGTTTCAAGTGCACGCTCCCTATGCTTAACCCTGAACACATGCGTTAGTTATAGTTACGTAGTCTAGATATAAATGACAGATGGGTACACCCAGGTTGAGAAGACTGGTAGTGTATGTCGGGTAATATGCGTACGATGCTGTTATGCACAACAAAAGTAACTTGTTGCATTCAAATGTGGAATATGTATTTCTCAGTTAATCTGTTACAAATAACTTACGCGGTCAGTGTTGGTCCTGTATGGTGGTTGGTATAGGCGGCCAGGTCTCGATCAATACTTTTGTTGGTCATCAAAAATAAAATTAGTACATCCCTACATACCGGACAGTTCAACAGTACTTGTTTGTTAGTTATGAAAATTCAGAGATTAGTGATGGGAAATGATATCTACTATTTACATAGTACAAAGGTAACGATGAATCACAGCGGATATTAACCGAAACCAGGAAATCAGAGGAACAAAACGCTTCAGAATCAAAGAGTTGCAGTCGAACGTTAAAAACTCGACCAAATGTATCATCTATCATATTTTAAAGTCGGCCGTCAGCCGTCGGCGTCGTGTCGAGGAAATAGCTCCTCACCGAGGGAGTTATTGAATTTCCAATTTTTCGCGAAGAATTTTATTTTATTTGTGCGGGTAGTTGGCGCGGCGCCGTCCAGACCGCTCCGTGTAAACAAAATGTCAACTTCAAAAACAAAACGGGATCGCTGTATAGTACACACTTGTTATTCGTTGTGGCTCATTGAATTCAGTTAGTTAATCATAATTTTAGTAACAAGTAGTAATCATAATGTAATGGTCCATTACACTCCTGCCATACTCTTAATATGCAGCAGCTCGCTTCGCGTCGCGAGGAGCAGGCGATACCATCATCTATCATTAAACATTTCATTTGAAAGTCCTTTTAGAATACTAAGCAACTTAGCATCACAATATCTATCAAACTTATTTTGCACAGTCAATTGTGCACTTTACCTCTTTGGGTGAGGGATACAAATAGCTTGGCTTGCGGGTGGGCGACAAACGCGCTCGTTTTGCAAATTCCTCGTTATTAAATCTCGTGACCGTAAAAACAAGGTGAAGTAGGTTTTCTTCACGCTCCCTGTACCCGCCGCCCCCGCGCCCCGCGCCCCCTAACCGCCCTCGCCCGCCGGTGTCGCAGTTTACACGTCTCTATCGCTTTGTTCCTGTGTACCTAATATTTGGTGCATTCTAAATTTGTTACCAACAATTTTAATTTCAATATCATTGGATTCAATTTCAAGTTGTCAACTTAGTCTGGAATTGTACCCAGCAGTATCACTATGCCTACCTTTAAAAAAGATAACTTCAAACCACATATCTAAAGTTTGATGGCAAAAGGCAAGTATAGTCCGAGAGTGCAACTGAAAATAACGAATTTCATTCGGATTACTGTAAGTGACATGAAGGCACGGCAGTAAGGGACAGGCATTACGTATTTATTTCCTTCTGGAATTCTAGCGTCATTCCCTATGTCGTCCCTTTATGGGCGGTACGACATTCCGGCCGTCTCGTGAGTAGCGCCGAAGTGGCCGAGAGGCTTAGTAAAAAATGAATGGGATAAAGTAGAGGAGTAATTGGAATCGACCGCCACTGCCACGCGCAGACCTCGTGCTAGTCCTGCACCGACTTCAGGCGCAGCTCTTAGAACATTGGTCTTAATAATAGCATACTAACGACATGATGTTTTATTCTTATCTATCAGTTTATTCTCCCACCAAAACAACCGATATATGGCCGGTTATGGTAACCGGATCAAGATCCTTAGGGAACCCTACAGTTCTAATTTTCTTGGAGTAAAAATAATACATCGTCAAGATGTTTACAATAAGTTACAGTAAACAGATGTTTTCTTGAGTAATCTATATATCTATATATAGAGGTATAAAAGAAAGTCGTGTTAGTTACACCACTTATAACTCAAGATTGGCAGAACAGATTGGGCTGATAATTGGTAGGGAGGTAGCTTAGAGCCAGGAGACGGACATAGGATACTTTTTAACCAATTTTTTTTTTAACTTTTTACCCAAAATCACGAACGGGGACGGGAAAAAATGGGATTATGCGTACGAAGTCGCGGGTAGAAGCTAGTTTTCACATAAAAGACATCAACGCGTTACATGAAGCATCGCCATGTTCTATTCTCATTTAGAATCTGCTATCTCTTTCGTAGTCAGAATATAAAAATCAAGACCAGTAGACAAAACTTCACAGTATCTTTAAGGTAGCTAAAATTTTGTTCATTCGTTAACTAAATCATTGATTTTATTAAGAAAATAGAACAAAAAGAAAGATAACAGAATTGAAGAAAGAACTGTAACAAATCAGAATATAAGCGCAGGAGAGGCGTGATTCAAATGAGTGGTGTCACGGCTCTGAAGTAATACATGTTCAGGAGTGGCGCCCTCTGCCTGGGCGTGACAGAGACTAATGATGTTTTAGCGCTCGCTGCTCACTCGGCGATAGTCTAGGTACCCCGCACTAGCTGACTAGCTCCCGTTACGTTAAGTACTAAGCATCTGCAAGTTGAGAGCGTCAACTTGCTTGAAAGTAGAATGACTGATGAGACAGATAACTTCTTTCACTTCAATAAACAGTGTGTGCATTTCTTTCATATGCATTTAAATTACTCATTCCATAGACCATAAATGGAACTGATATGTAGTTAATAAGGGATAATTACTAATTCAAACTCTCTACAACGAATTAAAAAATTTGCTCATATAAATAAAAATAAACTTCTGATTAGTGAACATATTAATCAAAACTTTGATATTATCTCGGGCTTAATCAATATTGTGGTTTCTAAGACCGGTTTGAATGCATCACTGCAAAAGATTAAACCTATTATTCACTTGCTAAAACCAGGAGTAACTTGTGGACACTGTGTGACCTACATTTTACGACCAAGATCGGGCGATCGCTTAAAAAACTACATCACGATGACATAAATCATGTTTTACTCAAAGACACAGTTTTTCCAAAACATATGGACGAGGCTGCAACTATGGCGGGTGGTGGACCATTCGAGTTTACATTATAAGCAGTATTATATATTATTTATTCGAGTAACAATATAAGATATGGATTTGGTTATACGGTGCCTTGTTCAACTGAAGTATGTTTAGCATTTTAACTAGATATTAGAAAGATTAGATAATAAGGCGCTGATGTGCTTGCTTATACAGTGGACCTGAGTGCGGGCTGGTGACTGTTGCGTGCGACGTTTATTCTGTCTGCGAGTGATTTATACCAAGTCGATTGCGTTACGCAGTGTGTTTTAACTGTTCGTAATGTTGTACTACGCTAAAAATGTAATTTTATGACTTTGCCAGTGTGCTTTATGAGTTTACCCGGTGAATACACACACACACAGCTGAACGTGGGAATATATTTTAGTACCTTTACGTGTATCCACCACTCACTGTGCAGCCGGCTCTGCCACTGCAGCACATTTACTACATTTTTAATCCCTCTTTGGTCTAATGTCTAGGATACGACTGCATGTTGTTGATTCCAGGCTTTGGTAAAAATTGCAATAGAGGTACAGATCAAGATTAATTATAATCTGTTTTGCTAAGTTACTGTTAGATATCGATCAGAGGAAATTTCTATAAATATGACAAATTACGCATCTCATCATCAGAAGTAAGAACATAATTGTTTAGTAGTTGTGTTAGGAATGTAAGCAGGCTCCTGGTATTCGTCCTCGGCGCAACATTCCCCGCGGCCGACAAATTGCGAACGCCTCCGCGCTCTGATCCACACCTCTATCTATGGACTAGTTGCACAATTACTTAAGACCTACGTGAATGCGAATTTATACAAATTTAATCTTTAACAACATATAAACAGTAAATAAAGTCATCTTATAACTGACAAGATAGTGAGTTATAAAAGTGGAGATGTGAAACTGATATCACCGTGCGTTACTCATCTGATATTTCATGGTATCATGGTGGGGTCTACACCCACACAGTCTCAGTGAAGGCTCTCGATAATATGGAGCTGGAGTGCTCCCACTGGTGGCGACAGCAAATAAATTGCTTATTATTGCAGCGAATCTTTGTGCCGCCATATTGGACGTGTAGTGCCCTGTAATGATGCAGGACTTGGTGTCTGACACCATCCTGTATGACTGCTACCCGTCCCTGGTTCGCACGTGTGATAAGTTAGCATATAGTTCTATATTTTAAGTCATTTCTTTTAAAGTAATTATGGCATTATAGAAAAAGCAGTCACAAAAATAAATAAGTTATTTTAGTTTCGTTAGTTTATATAAATAAATAACAACAAAATCAACACATAACTGATATTAGTATAAATTCACAGAAAAATGTTAGCAGTCTTCGTTTATTACCTCTCACGCTCATCGTATTGGAACTGTTCCGTAAGACAATACTCCAAAAAATAATGACATCAAACATTTATCTAGAATGTTCCGATACTATATTGTCAATGCTCGCACTCATGCGGGGCTAAACTAGTCGGTATAAGTAAGCTGATCAATTTTAGCCTCGACATTTTGCCAAGTTCCTGGTTAGTGGGCCACACACGCATACACACTCAAACACACACGCACACACACACCTGCATCGGAAAACATCCGCTGGTAGATCTCGTCGCAATCTGCAGGAACATAACAGTACACGTTAATACGTTCATTAGTTTGAGTAAATATAGATATTAGATCGGCAGTAGATTCCACGGTATAGAGTTGTAGGCAGTAAACAGTCTGTTGAGTACTGCAGTACTGCTTCACTGTTATATTGTCTATGCACCACAGCTTGCAAAGTTAATGTGATTGATTGCTGACTACGCCACATTATACACTACGATATCCTAAAACTTGTGTCACATTGAACCTTAAAAACATTAAAGTAAGTTTATGTGTTAAAGGAAGTTCGTCTTTCAACCAGCTTTCCCAACAATCCTTATTTTAGGCTAATCGATAAGACGTAGGATAGTTATATTATGACGTCAGAATTTGGCAGTACAGTCACCTATTCTAGTATGAAACGCATAGTGGCCACACGGAGAATGTAAACACTGGAGCCGTGGAGTTGATCACGTAAAGCGATGCGACTCGGTGACGTAGGACTTAAACAGTTAGCAATATGAAGAATAGATGTACGAGTGCGAGATAATCCCGGTACGTAGGCAGCGGGTGTAGTGGCACGCCACTCGCGCCAGTGCAGTTGGCGAGTGTCCAGCGCCAGTGACTAGTGGAGCGCGAATGCTCGCACTAGTGGCCATTGGCTAAGTAACCGAGAACTAACGCGCGCATTTCAAACGGATCGCATTAAATACTATTTCATATACATACATGTCCGACTTGTCATCTCCTTATAGAATTGTCTTTACTAATTGTTCAAGTTCAAATACTCCTTCTCTAATGTTTTGAATGTTTCCGATGATTTTTTTTATAAAAATCATAGCTACTATGTAAATAATTGAGGGTTTCCTGAACTAACATCTGTTTTAGTGAGAACTACTGAATCCAGTTACATATTATAAACACAAAATCCAAAGTAGCTGCCTACCTGTTGCGATTGTTGCACATTGGGCATTTGAAATGATGTTGTATATAGTGGGGTGGGGATATTTGTTAGTTTCAACCTAAAAATCTCTAGATACAAATACCTACCGTATTTTGTATTTTGTTTAGTTTAACAAACGTTTATATCTGACCTTGTATTATTTCGTAATGAATGTTAAACTTTGTAGCTAAGTCGTGGACGGTCATACAGCATCCCGCTTTTATCTCCGGATTTACAACAAATTGATGTTTTGGGCGCGTGAGCTACCCGATTAATTCAAAGCACGCCCATTCGCTCCAATAAATATGTTAAAATGTTCCGTGACAATGGCTCGATGCCGATTTCGCTTCGCATTTTCGAGTCGGCAGCGTTTGTTCAAATTGTTCGCGCCTCCCCGTGCCCTGCGCCCCGCACTCTCCCCGCCCGATTGAATCCACTGGTCCGAGGTGTGGAGACCAGAGGATGGAGAAGTAGTAGTACAAGATTGAATAAGACAACTCACCGACAACATGCAGCGTGACGAAGAAGGAGCGCACGGGCTGCGTGGACACCTGGCACTCGTAGACGCCGGCGTCGCGCTGCTGCGCCCACTTGATGTGCAGCGTCCAGTCGTCCGTTTGCGGCGAGTGCGTCGCCTGGAACCGCTGGTCCGACGTGTACGTGTAGCCGCCTACCGTCAGGATGTGCAGGTCCCGGTGCCGGATCCACGACACCTGGAACATATCAAACTCCTCGTCAGAACTAAATTTTCAACCAAAATACTGGCGTCCAGATTCTGATCAAATCATCATGGAGGAAAGTAGCTTATTACTCGATTATTCAGAAAGTTTCCTAAATAAGAAGCCGGATATCACTCAAGGAATTCAATTTAGAGAGACTCGTTGTGATTGTTGCGATTTCCCTAAGAAGTGTCGGTGCGCGCCGCTGCAGATATATTTATACGTATTACATACATTCATGAAAGCTACAAAAGTGTTTCGGCAATGTGGCGGCATTTATCACCCTCAAACGTTGTGAAACCGAGCCCGATCACTCAGCAAAGGCGTTATTGAATGTGAATTCTCAAAGCGGCGGCTCGCGGAGCCCCGGGCCCCGCCGAGCTCTGCAGGGGCCAGGGGCCCGTTTGAAGTATATTTTCGCATTAATATTCGTCGGCGGTTGTTTTAGGCGCGGCGGCCATTGGCATGCAAATCAGCCGTCTCTATGAAAATTGCGAACGGCTCTTTATTACTCATTCCTTTTATTTACTGTTGGCATGTAGAGCTCCCGGTTTCAGCTCTTTAATTATCTCGGGTGCGTTAAAACTCCACGTTTTTTACTTAATGTACCCGTTGAAGGTCCTAGTCCATTTAGACCAGCGTCGTCTGATTATACGATTTGTTCTTATTTGCTTATCTGAGTGAGCCAGATTACATTATCTTGACGTTAAGGGTTTCTTATATAGTCAGTGCAGTGACATCACGATTGCTCTCGTTACTACTAAACTACTAAATAAAGTTCGCTGATGATAAGTGCCAGCTTGTATAGTACTGACACATAAAACAACGCCTGTACAAGTGTATACCACCATCTATGTATAAAGAAAATACTAAATGGCCTAACAATCGTACCTGATTAGTTAGAAGAATTACTTAACAGTGCATTAGAAAACATATACCTCTAGTTCTTAACTGCCTTGATATAGTGATATAACCGTAATTGTATCTTTGTATCTTCTCAAGTCTACTGTGCAGAATTTATTCTGTTAAGGGCGAGAGTCAAGAGTGGATAGAGGTGTGCCACTGGAATGTAAATGACACCAAAAGGGTTAATAGTATGTTAGCGTGGCTTAATCAGCTAAGCCAGGTATAGGAGCGGTGGCCGATGTTAGGTGTTAGAGTCTGACGCATGGCCGTCGACAAATGTCGTTAACAAATATATCATAGTGAGAACTTCTCATACTATTGTGCGCGATAAGAAAAATATTGTTTTCATTTTCAGCATGTAGGGCAAGTTCACCTGTTTGCGTCTGCGTTACGGAATGCCCTTTAAAAATACCCGAAAATAAGAAACTTATCACAATATTCATAGCAGTTAGTATACATCTGTTAGATCTTACATGTTTTCAGTATTTTACATTCATGGCGATCCGTAAAACGGGAGGACGTAAAATGGGTGGACGCAAACAGGCGAACTTTCCCTATTATTGTTTCTTTTATTCAAAATTAAAGCATTTATTTCAACTAATTTCCATAGACACAATTTTGGAAAGGCCAACACAGTTTGTCTGTCAATGAAGCTAGCGTTGTTCTATGTAGATTCGTTGGAAGAAGAACGATTAAAAACGTCGACGTAGACGATGAACATTACAATAAGGACTAAGGTGACATTACAGCACTTTATTGACTGTTCAGTGTGACTCCATACAGCACCCAGTCGCTGAGCAGAGCAGGGAGGCACACCAAGCTTGTCAGTTGAATGCTAACATGTGAAGGCGAGTGTCGCTGTGTTTGCTTTGCGATCGTTTGTTATTCACATCGCGGCCCGCGGGCGTCGCGACTTGATAAACCACGCTGCACACCGCTCTATATCTACTCAACGTTTGTTGTTTCACGTCACTATACATAACACTCGCATACTTACGTATTAAGGTTTAAGATATAATGGCGATTAGACCGAGAAGTTTATTCTGGTTTGTTTATCCTTTTTTTATTATCTTTATTAATTTAGGGTCTTGGTCACACAAAGACCCTGCCAGACCCATTATTCCCTAAAAATATTATTAAAAACTTCCATTAACTTAAATAGTTTGTTACACTTGGTGTAGAATACGTAATGTAGCACAGCACTGAAGTATAATATCGACAAATATTGACGAAATGTTTTAAGATTCCGTAAAGTACATACGGTAAGAAATTTGAATGATTGGAATAGTAATAATGAATTCTATTGCAATGAATTAAGTACATACTGTCAACAATATCATATGCGATCTGTTAGTGTACATAGTATAGTACTTACATACTTGGTGTAACTTGGTTGTAACTAATGGCGAAACGTCTTCACCGAGCTTTGCTTAGTACATAAAGCAGCAACGAGTGATACGTGTCTCGTTTCGTGTATTACTACAACGTGACAAGTTTGACTGAGTACATACACTCGTCAGTCGGTAGTCTCAAACTATCCACACATCAGTGTAGTCGGGTATCATCTTAAAGTTAACGTTTCGGCCGCGACCCGTATAGTTTGCGCGCGATATGTTGATAGCCTTGTAAATTGAGTGGCACATGACAAACTAAATTACCACCTCGGTAGAGTGAGGTAACCAGTCTCCTCCCCCCCTGCCCCTTCACACCGGACACCGCATCGCTTTCATTTAGTTTAGATGCCTCTAATTCCTGCCTTCATAAAGGACCAACTATTTGCATGACATTCTTGACAGTGATTACGTGTCCCTAGCGATACAGATCGTAATGGATGCTGAAATTATAATAAGTAATATTGAATATCATCGTGTGTCAACATAAAATACGAGCAATACTTAGTTTCTTAAGGCGGAGCAGTGATAGATAAATATTGGCCACATCAGGCACAGGTGTTACAAAGTCACAGCTAAATGGGGATACTTTTGTCCCTTGTTTTATGTGTATAACTTTAGGGCTCTATCGAGTTGGGAACAAACTAAACACTGGAACCCTGTCGTTAAAGTAACAAGCCAAAATACACAAAACTCGTGTAAGTGTTAAAAGATTAAAAGTTGCGAAGTGATAGGTCGGTGACACACTCGGCTCTCGGCTGATAAGAGAGGGTGACTGTGGAGACTCGACCTGTAATGTGCGCCCTTTGCATATCTACGATCTGTGTGTACCGCAGTTCCGATATATTCGTACACTTTGTACCTCGATTGTGAGTAGCTTGCGATATCAACTCTCTCAATTTTTGTGGTCACATGAGAGTGCCGCAGTCGCCTCTGATAAGAGTCACTGGTACAAATTTAGTGTGGATAAAATCGTTCTGTATTACTGTTTAGAATTACTTCTTCACTGTATAACTACTGTGTAACATGTTATTTGCCTTCTGAAGTTAAATAAAGATATCTTGTTATTGTACTTTAATACCAGTTTTGTGAAAATAGTATTACCCAGCAAGCGATATTAACATATAGTAGATATATATCTGTTTTTTCTCGACGATTCAAGCAGAGGTATAGATATTGCAGGGACGCCAATAGATTCAAACCAGCACATTGTGTGTTGTTGATAGAATATTTTTTGATAGTATTTATTAGGGACAACTTACGTACATACATTCTTCATAAAATGATAGTTTTTTGTTCAGTAAAATTGTGAGTTACTTTATGTTTTGTGTGTTAAGCGCGAGCCGCAAGGCTTAGGCTATAGCTACATCGTGTTGCGGTAATCGACTTACTTCCGCTTCCGCTATGTCCGGTCTGATAACTGCGCAACACATTTGTTTTTGGATCTACATACAGATGTTGCTATCTCGCTAAACCATATATATAACCATATATTTTTTTTATATCATCACATCATTTGTACCCGAGGGGGTAGGTAGAGGTGCACATTACGACACTTAATGCCACTGTACAATGTAACACCCACTTTTTACTATTTATGTTATGAGTCCCATGTACTAGGGGGTGAGCCTATTGCCATATACCGGGCACAATCTAGACTCCGTGCTACTACTGAGATTTTTTTCACTATTATGTTGTGCTGTACAATTGCGAGAGGTTTAGTAAAAGTGATAAAGTCATGATGTGCACGTGACAACACATTGCTACACACCGTCGTCTGTCCACCGTACCCAGTGTCCCTGTATCGGGAGGAACGTTTGTACAGCTCATTGTGCATGCAAAGTGTCCTGTAAACACATAACTGAGTAGTTTACAACCTCGTTTGCATCTTACACGCGCTAAGATGGCTGCTCGCCCGCTACGAGACTACGAAACTACGACCTACGAATCGGCTACGAAACCACTACGTCGTAGTACAGCTACGGCGTCATCGTGCTTGGTATATTTTGGAGTGTAAATGGTAAAAATTGCAGTTGATTGGTTGAAATTGATTACTTTTGAACAGATTTCTTACTAAAAAGAATGAATAGTAAAGTTGACAGAAGAAGACTTTTTAAATATAAAAATTGTCTTTGGGTTCAAAATTCGTAAAACCAAAAACAAAAGCAATAAATAATGATTGTTCGTGGTTTCATTAAGTACAAGAATTACGGTAGAACATTAATTGTGTTTAAAAAGATCAACGTGTAACGATTTGTTGTAATTAGTTTATTGCGAATTGATTAAAATTCTGTGTGATATGGAGGCATGCTTGTGTTGTTGGTTGAGTGTGTGTGTGGTTGGTTGGATAGCCTGTTTTTTACTCTAACTAGTAGAGGCCCTTAATGGAACAAACACTATATAAAAGACAGCTCATTCATAATATTCATTCATAATCATCATCATCATCATATCAGCCACATGACGCCCACACAACATAGACTTCCAGATAGGCCGATTATTTATTTATTTATTTTTTTTAAAAACTTTGCCCCACACTAGGATTTTCTCCTGTGTCGTGGGTGCGTTTACAAACATACAAGTTCACATACACAATGACACCCAGACCCGGAACAACAATTTGTGGATCACACAAAGTGTTGTCTCGTGCGGGAATCGAACCCGCGACACGTTGCACGGCAGCCAGTTGCCCAGCCA